AGAGAGAGAGAGTGAGAGAGAGAGAGAGAGCAAAAAATTAATAATGAAAGCTGAGATACTGCATAACTATGTAATTAGCACACAAACAAGTATAGAAAGTAGAGCCAGTCAATATAGCCAGACTTTTAAAACACTGCAGGTGCATAGATTTAATGGGAAAATAGAAGCTCAGTTACAGAACACTGGACCACTTACTTTTACAATGAGAATGTGTGGTTGTTAACATTAAAATTAGTTGGGAAGAAGGTATAGCAGATTAATGTTAGGCTAGAAACATTGGTGGCTGTGATATCGAGACTTAGTTAAAGTGAGGAAATTATAGTATGTCTTAATTTTTTTTCTTTTTTGCTTCCCTAGAAGTACCAGGAGGCAGGCTGGGAAAAGGAATGTAAACCAAAGCAAGGTCTGTATGGTCCAGGGTAAAACGCTGACATGTAAAGTTGGCCATGGCCTCGAGGCTCTGCGTGTTTGTCTGAAGCCCTCTCGCTCTCCCTGTATAGCCAGGATCTTTTATCGTGACGTGTCACTCTTAGAAGTGTTCATATCTCTGAAAGTTCATTTGTCTCTTCTGTTCATGCTTTTCAATAGCCTAACGCATGTGAATTCCCAGGGACTCCGTCAGAAAGCACACTCCTGCCCGTGCGACATCGGGCCCAAGAACCTGCTCTTAACACAAACTCTTGAAGGATACCAATGCTGCCAATGCATGTGTCACAACTTCAGGAACAGGCACAGAAAGGCACTGGGCTATCAGACAGTCTGTCTGTCTGTGGCCATTGGGCATTGCTCACTTTTCTCTCTTATGAATCGTCATGGATAATGGCACTGGAGAAAGCGCCTCCTCCCAGTCCTTATTCCCGGCACTCCCTCCTCCTCCCCTGCCCCTCTGTCGTCCAGTGCTTTCTTCTTTGTCTATACTTTTACTGACTTGTTCGTCATCTATTTCTTTCTTTAAAGACATAAGCATATTGGAGGTGCAAACCTTTGTTTTACTCTGTAAAAATTAAAGAGAAAAGATTTCTATGTTTTTATTTTATGCACATGGGGGTGCTTTTGTCTGTAACTCTGTATGTACAGATGTATATTCCTGGTATCCTTGGAGGACAGAAGAGGACATTAGATCCCCAAATCTCCTGGAACTACAGTAGCAATCAGTTGTGAGCTACCACGTCAGTGTGGAAACTGAACCCAGGTTCACTATAAAAGCCGTAAATGTTCTTAACCACTAGGCCACCTGTCTAGCCCCAAATATTATCTTATATCGTAGCTACTTCCACAATATCTAAGGTATTTCTTGACACATTTTAGTATTCAAGGAATGAGTTTGATAAGTAAATGCACACCTAAACAGCAAGCTGAAGTAACAGCTTAGTTTGTACTTCAAGAATATATATATATATATATATGTGTGTGTGTGTGTGTGTGTGTGTGTCATAAGGTATATATGACATGATATAGATGATATAAGATATATATATATGAGCTTCAAGGGATATATATAAAGAAAGTTGATGTAAGCAAAAACAATGTGACTAAATAGTAGGAGTTCTAAACAACATGAAAGGAACAATACATGTAAAAGGACCACTAGATGTCCTTCAGATGTTACCATTTGAACACCTCTGGCTGCACATCCAGTTCCTATTAGAAATGTGGAAGCTTCATTAACTATCAAAGTTTATACAATAAGATCCGTGCTCCTTCTATTACTAGGTTATTCAGATTTTATAGACCTGGTGTAAGAAACCTGTGGAAAACGCAGTCAGTCCAACTTGATGTTTCCAAATTCATCTGACGTTCTTCCCTTGGTAATTTTTCCTGATAGTCACTTTATTTGTTCTTGGTTGAATACTTTTTATTGTGTAATACACTATCTTATAGAAACTAGACTTTCCATCAGTTATGGTGGCATGCACCTATAATCCAAGCACTCAGGAGGCAGAGGCAGAGGCAGGGTTGCCACAAGTTCAAGGGCATCTTTTTCTACACATAAATTCTAAAATAGCCAGGATTATAAGGCAATATAAAAATAGAAAAAAAACATAAAATAGAAAACAAGAAAGCTAGAGATAGATAGAGACTGTGGTGGGGGGGAGGAAGGAAGGGAAGAAATGAGAAATACAAAAAAAAAAAAGAAAAAGAAAAAAAGATTGAAATGTTCACCAATAACAAAGTTATAGAAAAAATACCTTTGCTCATTAGCATTGATGGTGGTAGTTCTCAATCTTATCATGGTTCTTTCTTCTGAAATGATTTATTGGTAGAATGAAATCTGTTATGTATTTACAAATATGTTTTTACCACAGTGTGAACAGAACTAATGAAGAGCACTTATAATAATTTAAAAATTAAAGTGTATATATTGTGAGACAATTATATTGGGCAAGTCTTTGTCATGCTATTCCCATATACACTCCCACCATCTAAGGGCTGGATTTCCTAAGTTGAAACTCTTTACATGAAGAGTGATACTGACCATAATGAGAACAAAAAATGGTAACACTCCTGTTAGTTTACAGTCAGAAAAGAAGCTTGCTGTTATAAGTGTGGGAGAGAAGACACACCTTTGATGTGCAGTTTTGTGTAAGCACTGGTAACATTGTATGTTCTCACTTGTTGTGGGAAACCCTGTCACCATGGCCCTTCAGAGGCCTTCCATGCATTTGTGCATCTGAAGAGTACTCTGTTTGCCCCTCCATGCCTTTCCTGCCAATAGGTTTGCTTCTGCCCAGGGTGAGCAGTTCCCTGTTTGCTTGTTCCTTTGTGGGTATTCTTTTCAATTAAAAAAAAAAAAAAGGGCACACTTTTGGGTCTATCTCCATTCTGTATTCTGGCAATATTATCCTTTTCTCCAGTAGCCACAACACTAAAATTAAGTGCTTGGGATTTGTGGTGATGCCATTGGTAATACTGCATGGGGCAGAACGGAAATAAAAATGAATATACATGGATCTTGTTCTCCACAAGTTTCCCCCTAATATTTCATTTTCAGATTAGCCCCTTCTATTCCTTTTTAAATTTATTCATATTTTGTCACTTCCCTTAGGATGGCTATATTGGCTTGAAGTACCCATTTTTTAGGTATTTTAAATAGAGCCCATGACTATTTGAGTGTTTTTTCATATTATATAGGCAATTATGTAATGTATTGTGGAGAAAGGCATACAGGGAGGAAATAATCCATAGAAATACACTGCAAGAAAATCCAAAAGGAGTGTGATGTTAAGTGATGACGATGGTGAGCCTCATACACAATAAAAAAAAAAAAACTATATATCACATACTTTAAAACCATCTTCCTAAGTATGCTTCTACTTGGCTTTAGAATGACCGCTGTATACAGCATGTAATAGAAATGAATACTGAACAATGCCTTCAGATCTACATTTGATACTCATCTGTGCCATGTTCTCTTCCATGCATTGGAGTTGAATGGCTTTTGGCAGTTTATATTTCCCATGTCCTAAATTTGTTTACTTTGGAACCTGTGGCCTGTAGATATTGTGAGTTACATGTCAATTCTTGGCTAGACTAGAAGAAAATTAACTGCAAGTACACATTACAAAATAGGTTAAAAACTGAAATATGCAGTCTTTTTTTCTATTTCTAACAGCTGGCTAGTCCCTCTTTCTTTCCTTATCCCATATATAAAATAAAAGGCTAATGGTATGCTTATAAATTTTCTGTAGACATAGTATACCTATTTCCTAATAAGCCTGTAAAGCCCCCCGCCTCTCCGAGCTGAGGACTGAACCCAGGGCCTTGTGCTTGTTAGCCAAGCACTCTACCACTTAGCTAAATCCCCAACCCTGCCTGTAAAGCTTTTAATGGATTCACAATTCATAATGGATTCATAATTGCAAGGTATAATGTCATTAAAAGTATCAAAACTTTTCTTACCAGAAACTCCACTTTTTGTTGTCACAGGATTATGTGTTTTATGAAATATGGTGTATGGAGCTGATAGGTAGGAATTCCTTTGGGTAGGTTTTCCAAACTATTTAAGATTTTATATACATAACCTCATTTCTTTGTGAGACATACCAACTGAAATTAATTGAATTATTATAATATATTACTTCCTAAAGCAATCATTCTCAACCTTCCTAATGTTGCACTCCATTTAATACAGTTCCTTATGTTGTGCTGAATCCCAACCATACAATTATTTTCATTGCTAATTCATTACTAATTTTGCTACTGTTATGAATCATAATGTAAATATTTGTGTGTTTTCCAATGGTCTTAGATGACCTTTGAATGACTCAAAGTGGTCACAACCCACAGATTGAGAAACCACTGAACTAAAGGAAGGAAAGTCTATCCTGAAATAACAGCCAGAATCTGTCTAGAACACTCATGAACGCCCATTTGCAAAATGTCCAACATTTCTAATAAATGCTTGAGAATCTTTCTGGCAATGTTAAAATTTCCACTGGGCTTTTTTTTTTCACATCCAACTAACACTCAGATATATGATGAGGCAAATAATCTGTAATCAACTGACTAAAAAATGTAATATTGTTAAGCCAAATTCCCTCCTTCCCTTCACCCATCCCTCCATTCCTCCCTTTCTTTTGCTCACAAAACACCCTTGTAGAAAGGATCTTTGCCATCTTACTAGAAATCCAGTCAAGTTTAGCCTAAAATGCTGAGATACACGTAATCACAGGGCTGGCCAACATTCATACTTAGTATAGGGAGTGGCAAAACATTGTAATACATTTTTACTTGTGTGCTTTCGAGAACCGCTAATATAAAGATAGCTCGTTTTATCACCATTACCAATGTAAAGAATTCCTCTAAGCAATTCAAAGCTAATACCATTTAGTTATAGAAACACAATGTCCCATGTAAACATTCACACCATTAAAAAAGACGAGCAAAATTAACACAGGTCGTTTTTGCCTCTAAGAAACAAAGACTAATTTTTAGATATTTCATATTTTAAGCTGTGAGGTCATTAAGTCTTTTAATGTAAATACTATAGTGCTTTGTTTCTGCATAGGCAGACTCTGTGAAACTGCATGTTCATGTGTCAATGCTTTCAGATCATCTCTAGACCTTCAGGGATAGTTATGATCTACACACAAAATGAACCACAATTTGCTTTTTATCATAAACAGTGGTGCTAACCTGATCATCTATCAGATTGAGAAACTATGGCTTGAGATTAATTTTGGCTAACTCACAAAATGAGATTGCTGTTGCCAAGAAGAGATAAATTATTATTTTGAATATTTATATTAACTTGGCACTGACCCTGAAGGCTGCTCTTGATTGGGAGGTCAAAAAAGGTTTTGATTTATTATGTTGTGCGGGGATGTGTCCAGTGTTTTATGATGATTACTCTGAGGAACACTATCACTTTCACCTTTTCATACTTTTGTCTGTGGCCGAATATGGTTAATATTCTTTGGATCTTTGTAATAGAGATATATTAAGACATATGCTACTTTGTCTATGCAACTATTTTGTTTATGAAATGCTGTTTAATATTACTCAAATTCAATACTTCATGCTAAATATCAGCATATCATACTTCCAGGCATTCAGAACTGCTTGCTGTCAACAGAATTTTGTGTAAGCCCTTGGCAGTAAATCTTAAATAAGTCAGGCAAGCAATTTTTATTTTTAAATACTGAGAAACAAAGGCCTTCACCACATAAATAACCAAAATAAAATGACACCATACATTGGGTAAATTGATTTTTGACTCTCAAAAGAGTTATATGATTACTTCCTTCAAAATTGTGTCTCCCGTTTCTGAATGGTTTGCCAATTTAAATGGAAACTAAAATATGATTTTAGAAAATATGTTTGCCTCTACAAATCTGAATTTTCTTCCCTATGCTTAATCTGATAAAATTTAACATCTGTTTTGGCAAAAGTCTGTTATTTCTGCTTAAGAAATATAAGTAACTCTAAGTCATTCTAATAAATCTAAAAGTAGATAAATGGTCCTTATTTTTGGAGAATTACTGTGTACACTGATTTTTGCAGTTGTGCCCACTGAGTCAATAGCACTGTCTATTCAAATATTAAAATATAATTGAAATTACAGGATAATAAAGAGCTAGTTCTCATTTAGTTGAATGGTGATTTATGCTACACTAGGAATAAAATATCTCGAAAGAATGTCTATATTTCTCAGTTTGTGGAACACAGTACCACCAGTCAGTTCTGGGAAAACTAACTTATTTGAATCCCAAACATTTCCCTGTTCTATAGTCTAACTCGTTTTCATGGTTCTTCATGCCCTCACCCTTCATTCACCCTGTACTGTTTTGATATGCAAATCTGGTGAATTTTTGGTTTCCCGAACTTATTCCCACTCTTTGGCAAACACAGGTCTTCCTTCAGGCCCAGCAGCCTCACAAGTAGTGTGAGGTAACAAATACCCTTAGTTCTTGCTCTGTCACAAATTAAATTTTATTTCTTTTCACATTAGCAAAACACACATTTCACCACGTACCCTTTGATTTCTCTGCAAAAATTAAGATTAAAGTATAAAATTATAAAACCTTTGGCCTGATAATAAAAATGGCTTTTTAAAAGGATTTAAATCCAACTTTACCATTTCAAATTTGTTTTCTCTAATCTATGACACACTCAAGCTTCAGCGAGATATGACTATTGCCAACGACCAGTGTTTTGTTAAACATTCACATTTTAGAAGCAAGTTTCGTTTATCATTACATGAAGATGCTTTCTTCAGAATATATTCTTTCTATTGCCATTCTCTCTACACCAAGTATCTTAAAAATAAATTCATAGACTTGTATACATTTTATTTTGATATTGTCTTTAAACAAGTCTCATGAAGGGACAAGTGTTGGCAAGGCTTCTTTCAACACAATCAAGTTTTCATTGTCCCTACTCAACCACCCTTGGCTGAGGAAACAGGGGTAGGATTATGGTGAGATAAGAGAGGCATGGTCATGTAAGAGTGGGGTCGGGTCCTGTCTTAGGTCGTGATTGTCACATTAATTTTAATTTTATAAAAACATCATTTGTCTTTTTTTTTGTTATCTGGGACATCAAAAATTATACATGGAACAAGTATGTCACTCACATCACCATTATTCCAGATTTGCTTGGAAAATTATCTCCATTCCTCATCACCTCATGTCAGAGAGAGATTGTTTCAGTATGAAGCAAAGGTAGAAAAAGCATTTCACTGTGAGAATTACCCAAAGTGTAAAGCAATCAGGTATTCAAAAATCACAGACATGTCCTTTGAGTCCAATGAGGGATCTTTTGTGGTGGTAGCTTTTTCACTCCACCAGGATAGTTGTTCCTACATGGGAAAGTTTATGCTTCTTACACCTTTAAGCTAAGAATGTGACCAAGGCCAAAATGACCCATCCATGAAGATGTCAATGGCCCCAGTGAAGGAAAGCAATACACAATATGGCCGTTACTTAACACTTCAAATTGAAAGGTGAAAGACTGGCTTGGTGTGAATCTGAATCTTTCCTGAAGTTAGGCAACTTTTTTTTTAATAGTTCATGCATTTCTTTTAAGAATAATGTTGCCCTTTATGATCAGCTCAATCATTTGCCTTTAAAAAAAACATGCCATCATACAAATGTGTTGTTAAAATTGAAATTAAGTTGCTTTAGAAAGTCACTATTCTCAAGTGACCATAGCAAGTATAAATAACCATAAAATCAATAAAAAAAAATCTTTGAAAGAAAAATCTCCAACATGATTTTGAAAATATTTTGGGAAATATTTTGAACAAAGTTAAAAGAACTGAGGAATAATTTGGTCCACATATCCAAAAGCATTATTTCATGACAAATTTTTGACTACTCAGGCTTCAGTGTAGCTCAGTACCTGATTATATTCTAGGAATACATTTTTCTCATGGCACAGACTGATATGCTCTTAGGTGGACTGGCCTAACATATGGTAAATCTTTGTTAGGGTTAGTGAATGTGAATAATAACCACAGTGACAACAACTTACCCCACACTTGCGTTGTCTGACACATACTCCAGAGTGCTGGAGACAGAAGTGAGAGACACCTGGGTCATGCAGTTTAATATTATAAAAATAAGGAAAGGAAGGTCCAAAAGAGCAATTAGAGCAAAATTATAAAATAAAAACTGTAAGTCAATTAAGAATCAATGGAGATATTTTTACACAAAACCCTGACAGACTATTAGAAATGATTTGTACTTTGAAAAGTAAGTAATTATAGCTTTAATATAATATGTCTAAAAGTTTAAACTCATCATATTGCGTAAATTGTTCATGTCCTTTGGGAATTATTAGAATAACTCAATTGTTTCCTTTGCAGTGTCCTGAAAATACCATGTTTTTCATTTAATTCTGTAAATTAATGGTAGAATAAGCAGCTTTTAAAAGTGGAATGGCATTCACTTGGTAATCATTCCCTTATGGAGAGGTCACGGAGACCTGGAGGCAGGATGTGTGTTACAGGATGACAGTAAATGGCAGAACACTATTTTATCCTCATTGTGTTTAAGATTGCTTCGCTATTTATCCTCATTGTGATCAACCTCATCGGAGGCATTTGAAAATCCCAAAGGCAACAGGACAATGTGCATAGGTTAAAAATCATCCTCATATTCAATGACATAAACGTGGCTGTGATGTGAAACTGGACAAACACCAAGTATTAAAGAGGCATAGAGTAAAGAATAAAATAAACAAATTTTTACTGTATGGGAAAGGTAAAACAAAGGGATGACTGGGAAATCCATGTTCTATTTAAATTATTTTCATTCTGTATTTATAGAATATCTCTAAGAACTGTATGGTGATTTTCAAGAATAAATTTTTTTTGGAAATTATACAAAGACAGACAAACAAGCAAATCTATAGTCATCAACAAAGCAAAACATTGGATCAGAGTTCAACAATAAAATAAAATATTCATAATTTTAGTTTATTTTTGTTGGATTTATTAATAATCTTTATATATATTTATATGTATGGCTTTGAGCAAAGACAAAAGACATACTCTAACTCTTCCCTGGTTGTACAGTGGCAAGGATCAGCTATATTCTTATCTTCTCAGCAGCAAAAGATCAATAATACAGTTCTTTCTGTACAGATTAAAACTCCAACCTTGAGCTTAACTATGTACAGAGAAAAAAAGGTCATGTTCACCTAGCACTGTACCTTTATATTACAGTAATGTGAGTCACTTTCCTCCTTAATCTAAATATATATATGTACATTCATACATATGTGTATATAATTTACCCTGTACCATTTTGTTAGTTTAACATATAAACCTTAGGGTTCTTTGTCCATTCTAGTACAAAGTGAATAAAAATGTTATGGTTGCACTGAATGATCATGCAATTCAATTTTGCTGATGTTTCCCAATAGTGCTCGAAAAATTTTATATATAAAAAAATATTTTACTACCAAACCATTAATCCTGTCAAATGTAAACCTTTAATAATGTAAAGGACTAGTGCATGATCTTAATAAATTGAAGCTAATTTTTATATTTTAATAAAAAATTAAAGAGTTTCGTACTGATATGTAAATGGTCTTGCCACTTTCTCATAGCTTCTAGGTAGGCCGAATGAGCTCTCTCTTATACCATTCCCAACAGGCTGTCGTTAGTCACCAGCATGTCAGTAATAAATAACATCATATTGCCTAGCATTGTTGATTGCTTCCACACAAATTAGGATCTGTTAGCAATTAAGCATAGCAATTCTTTTTGGTTTCATAGGTGTTAGATCCATAAAAGGCATAACAGGCAGCATGGATTCACTTTGCTTCTGCTTCTGCTTTTGTTTTCTGTCCTCAAGTCTATCTAGAGGCCCTGTCCCAACAGAATGTGTGGTCTTTAAGTTCTTAAGTGGATCGTCCATGCTCATGCTACTAAAGACTTCCACGTCAGGTCACTCTCTTGAGTTATTTACAGAAGTCAAACATGAGGAATCTTCCCATTGTGTTTCATCCAACCACACGTGTGGGATGCAGTAAGCACACATGATCTCTAAGAGGCTGATGCTCACAGAAAGAATTAAGGAAACAAAGGAACAAACAAACAATGCTTACAGACAGCTCAACTTCACCCCTGCTTCCTGTCACCACGTCCACCCTACTTTCAGCACATTTAAAAGAGCAAACCTCCGGTCTATCTAAGGACTATGTTGGTTACCACATGCCTTAAGATTTACTAACTGCTTAGCTACAATATACATAGGGCAAATGTGCATTTCCAAACAGATGTGATGATTATTATATTTATTTCTTCACATTAACATCACAATAAACTACCAACTAACATGAAGACACAGAACACATTTAACTCCAAACCAAGCTGTGGTTTGCAAATAACTGTTTAAATGATAATAACAGCGATAATATTAAATTAAAGTGAAAACCTCACTTCTAGATTTTAGTCAGAGATCCAAGTCACCCTTTTAAGAATTTTAAAAGAGACAATAAATGAATTGTTATATCTTCTAGAAGTGAGAAATACTGTAAGCCTTTTCTTACAATGACTGATTAGAATCTACTTTTTTTTTTTTTTTTGCCCCAAAAAGCATGCCAGGACTAGTTTCAGATGCTTGATTATGTCAATAAGGAAGAAAAGTAATAATTTTTGGTGTAATACAAGCAATTTGTAGATTCAAGCATACAATTTTGCATAAAATATTGCAGGTTAAAATAATATTGTAGGTCTGAAGCCATTGCATTACAGTTGAACAATTGTCACAATTATTAGATTTTGTGAAATTTTAAAACTCTTAACTTTTGAAGTGAAGCCATAAAACTGAATTCTTAAACAGTGACTTTTACCTTTATACAACACAGAAGAGTTACTTTTATTTGGGCTGGAAAAGTTATTTACAACTAACATCGACAGAGTCTCGATAGAAGTCCAACAACACACGAAGACAAATATCTCCTCACCTTCCTGCCAAATCAATGAACATGCTTGAGGTTAGAGAAAGCCCTAGCAGTGGCGATGTTAGTCTCCTATGGTGGATGGGCATGTAATGTGTTCCTTCACCTAACTCAAAATTTAAAGCACCAAAATACAATTTAGAGCTATAAACTGGGATTGGGTTATTTCATTCCACATAATTAGCAATCTAGATACAGAGGCACAGCTAAATGAAGGAAAGCTTTGATTGGTGCTCTTCTGGAACTAATTGGAGTTGCCTTTTTAAAATCTGAGTGTTGATACCATTGACCCCCCCAAGGACTCTTCATAAAAGAGAGAAATACATATATCAAAGGAATTAAGTAGAAGTGGGTTAGAAATCAATGATCTTACAACAATGTGTTAAATCCTTTAATGGTTTTAAAGAAAGGAAGACATGTAACACTGAATGCTATACAAGTCTTTTGAACTTCTCCTGGGCATTTATATATAGAGATATGTATATTTATTTAATTATATATGTATATATGTTTTTACATTTGCATGTAGGCCAGAGCTGTCTAAAATATCTTTTCAGGGTAGGCTATAGGGATCTATCACCAGATAGATTAAAATAATATCTGAGAATATTCTGTTTATTAGAGTATTTCTTTTCTGCTTTGACAATCAGCAAGGATCATAAATTTGAAGCAAAACGCGGTTTTTCTGCATCTGGGTCTGTGTTTAAGACTGAGGGAGATTCTCTCTGTACAGCTGCTGGTGGTGGGGGTGCTGGAGGCACTCCTCGGTTGGGGGGGATGGCTCCCGAGGACATCTGTCGGAACAAGGTGACACGCTGTGGCACGGTGCTCCTGCCCCCCGCCTGAAGGCCCGCGCTGTGGACAGCTGCCACGGGTTGAGGGATGGAGGCCAGTGACTCGCCCACAGTGGGATGAGGTCTGGAGATCATAGCGGGCACCTCGTGGGGCAGCGAGGGCTGCGAAGCCGAGAGGGGCCTGACTTCTCTGGTCAGGTTGGTGTTATGAAGAGCTTGCGCGCTCTTGTGCACTTCATTTTTCGGGGTGGAGCTACCAGGTGTCTGTGGCTGTTGTTGCTGTTGCTGCTGTTGCTGCTGCTGTTGTTGTTGCTGTTGCTGCTGCTGCTGCTGTTGCTGAGTCTGGGGTGCCTGGGACTGCGGTGGCTGCTGCATGAGTGACAGCTGCGACGCAGTGGGAGAGGCATAGTGGAAAGTTCGTGTGGCCAGGGGGCTCTGTACAGGAGGACTGCAGACTGCTGTGGTATAGGAGCAGGGTGAGAGGATGGCTGAGGGTTGGGGGGTCTGTGTGCTGGGGCTGGGCGAGTGGAGGTTGCTGTGAGACAAGCTGGTCGCCGTATAGACTGGCGGAGATTGTGTCCTCATGCGGGAGGTTGGGGTGGTGGTCGATGATGTGCAATTCAGGGCTGTCATTTGAGGGTAGTTGATTGGAGGGATCGCTTGAACCATCTCTCTGTCGTGCTTCACAATCTGCTTGAGGATCTCATTCTCCTGATTGTTGAACACACCAGTGTTCAGATCCTTCTGAAACTTCTGGAGGAGAATGGAGTTTTTCTTGCCTATCAGCAAAGGAAAAATAGGCACTTAGACAGGCTGAAAGGAACTAAGAATGCCGCAAGAGACTGGCTACTCCAAGGTGATGTATGTCAGCGTTAAGACCCATGGGTTTGGAAGTCAAGAACCTCACCTGTCACCACCAAACAGAAGTGGAGCATCTGCCTCGTGCACAATGTTGCATCTGCTTAGAAATCGCATGCTCTACTTAAGAAAAATTGGAAAGACTAAAGGTGGCAAAAAAACAAAAAAACAAAAAAACAAAAAACCCGAAGCTACTTTATGAAAGAAATGTACCTATTTAACCGGAGCATAATTTGTGGTGTAATAGAGAAGCAGTGGGTGTTTGGGTCAGGCTGGGCCTAGAATCATTATTTTAGTTTGTGTTTGTAAGGTAAGGCAATGGAGAGTCAGAGACAACACTGGAGCATTTGCTTTGGGACACACAATCAACAAAAGGCTTTAGGGAGAACCATTTACACAATGCTCAGGATTGTAAAGCAGATGTATTTATCGTATTCATCTCATGGGAAGGTTAAGATCACTACTTAGAAATTTGGGTTAGAAAGTGAAGAGGCTGTGAAGAAAGGAAGAAATTCTGATAGCGAAGCCTTGCTACCAATGACAGATGGGCTTCATCTGAACCATCTGGGTGCCTGTAGAAAGGCAGTCCCTCAGACCAGACCCAGATTGCTCAATCTGGTACTGTTTTATACAGATAGAGTATCATGACGAGCAACTATCTCAAGAGATTTTGCCTTTGACTAATGCCAGGCACCAATGACTCTTCATTCTAGCTGCATATTTCTCTCAGCTCTGGAGTTAAAAAAAAATACAAATACCAATTACATGTGAACAACCTGACATGGGTTCCAGATTTTAGCCTTTGCAAGCAAATTTCCTCAGGGGGATGCTTTTGCACACGTGTAGTGTGGATTGCCTCATGCGCTTCCCTCCTCTGTAATAGAGGCTGTGAGGGAAAAAGCACAGAGCTCCGCACTTCTCAGCTCACTCCAGGACATAAATAAGCTTTAGTTCTACTTCTTATCATAATTTTTTTTCGAGAGCTTTGCAATAGATAGGCATTCCCTGGTAGAATATTAATTAGAATCAATCGCACGTTGGTAAAAAACCAAACAAACAAAAATGGAGGACACCAGGAGAACATGGCCAACTGAACCAACTAAGCAGGGCTCACGGGGGCTGACAGAGACTTAAGAAGCAAACCCCGGGCCTTCAGGAGTCTGCACCAGGTCTTCTGTGTATATGTTGTGGCTGTTAGCTTGGTGTTTTTTTGATTCTCCTAATTGTGGGAGCAGGTGTGTCTTTGACTCTTCCTGCTCTTGGGACTCTTCTCCTCCTCTTGGGTTGCCTTGTCTCATTGTATTCTGTTTTTTTTTTTGTGTGGTTGTTGTCTCTTGGAGGTCTGCTTTTTTTTTTGAGGGGAGACAATAGCAGTGAAGTGGATCTGGGGGAGAGAGGAGGTAGGGGGTGTCTAGAAAGAATGGAGGGAGGGGGAACTGGCCAGGATGTATTATATGAAAGAAGAATCTATTTTCAATAAAAAAAAAACATACATATGCAAAAAAATAAAAATAAAAATACCCAAATGAGCATGGTAACTGAAAAGTGAATAAATTATGCTTCACTGCTAAATAGTATCATTTCAAAAGTAACCGAGCATATTTTCAACAGGATGCCATATGATAATTTTCTTGGATAATGAGAGAAGTGATCATTTTATATCTTTGCCAAAATAGTTATTGTTCCTTTCTTCAAAGCTCCTCTAATTTCCTAAAGAAAAAAAACCTCTTATGTTAGTATTAGTAGTGAATACGGGTGTATTTGATATATTACAATACAGTTTATTTATTTGATATGTTACCTTAAATAACTACAATAAATATTTAAGTATTGATCTCACAACTGAGATGGACAGTGTTGCTTTGTATTTGAACAGTCAACATTTTATAACTGAAGTATTGTTGTCTGTGAAAATAATTAAAATGATTGATTTAGCTTTAATGCACTGTTAGAATTTTATCAGGGTCAAAAATACAAATGTTGGGTGCTTCCTAGAAACATTATTGCTTGTATTATTGATTAAAATGATTTCATGGAATTTTCTTGAGAAATTACAATTTTGAAGAGAATGAAGATGAACCAGATTAATAGAAATTACTGGATATAGTGAATTTTAATAATTTATCTAAAGATACCCATTTGGTTTAGGAAATCAGTCCCAAGTACTCAGAAGTTATTCTCTGTGTGTCTAACATGAACACTCATATAGCAAGAAAAAAAAAAGAGGTTGTGTTTCAAATCCTGCTTTTAGGAATGTCTGCTTACTTCATGGGCGCCATCTCTGTGGATAACTATGTTCTGTTAACTCAAGAAGCTGTCACTATGAACTTCTGGGTTTTTTTTTTTTGGTGTGTGTGTGTGTGTGTGTGTGTGTGTGTGTGTGCCCTGTGATAATGTCCACACACTACTTTTACTTTACCTCATCTATTTTTTTTCACCCTTAAAGTCTTTCATTCTGTGCTACATAGAGGGAAAGAAAGATGGGTGAGAAGCTGTCATAAAAAATAAGACCTTACCTTTTTAACAATGAAGATCTTGAGACACCTTTTCTTTACTTCTAACTGACCCCAACTCCATCTGCTTCAGGTATAATTGACACCCTCCCCCTTCCTCCCCCTTCAACATACATGCATTGTGGACAAGATATTGCAAGTGTAATGGTGAGTTAAAGATGCTCTCCCCATAAAGTTTAGTATTTTTTTTTTTTTAGAACAGTTACTATAACAAAGGCAGGGCTGTGAGAGGGGAATGTAGGAGACTGTATGAGAATACATCAAGGGAATTCTGCCTAGTAGGTGGTGAGAATCAAGAAAATGTTTCTACAGGGAGTGGCGTTTAAGCTGAATTATGAATCTAGTGCAGAGCTATGCCAAGGAAGAGGGGAAGGAAAGGTGAGGTGGACAAACTGGTTAAGGCTTGAAGAATGAACTCAAATTATCTTTTCAGCATATTCCAGGATAGCTCAGGAATTTAACAGCAAGACAATGTGGCCCTACTTCGCTGGGAGAAACTACGCACATCTTTAGCATAACTAAGTTCTACTTAACTTTGTTTTTGTTTTGTAGCATAAAATACTTTACAACATTGATGTTTGCCAAGAAACATCTATGTAGGGCATGTCTACAAAGGCTTGTTCTGTTTGAGTCTGTATTACAAACGTTTTGATGTTTCTGCTGAGCCCGATTTAATTGCGTAAGTTTTAAAAATTTTAAATATAAGTATAAAATGTAAAACTGGCCCTTAAAGAAAAAAAGAACCTTATGATAAAATACGGAATGTAATATAGACTCATGATTTTGGCTTTTACTACTATTTTACTGCTATCTGGAATTTGTACCAGTGCTTTTTACCTGACAATTCAAACTGAAGTGGTATCACTTGGGCTATCAGATTGCGTAGCTAGTGAAAACAGACATGAACAAGTCAGTCTAGAGCATTTAGAAGAAGAAGGAGCTACCTCGGGTCTTTCTAAACAACTATATACTACAGAGCGGTATGCTATTTTTTTTTCACACAAATTAACAAGATATCTATGCACTAGAATTTGAACCTAAAATGAAATTGTGCTCGAGGAAACAGAAAGCTGAAGAGTACCTATCCGGTCGAGTCGGTCAATAGCAACGGTCTCAAAAGCTCTTCTCATCATTGGGTATTCCTCCAAGACTTCATTGAAATTGTCCACCGAAAGGGAGTAAAGACGACAGTATGTATCAGCTCGGACACTGGCAGTGCGCCGGCCCTTGGTCAGCAGGCAAATTTCTGTAAAAAGAAGAGAGAATGTCTTCACTGGTAAGGTTCTTTTCCCAAGTGTTGAATGCCTCAAACAATTAAAAAGCCTCATGTGAGTAGCCAATGATTGGAAGCATCTGTTTTCTATTTACCAGGAAATTCATTTGGCTATTGAAACCATCTGATTACTAATATTCATTTTTTAATTTTATTTTGGAGGTTATCATTGCAATGCTCCTTTACCTTTCCTCCCTCCAAACTCTCCAAATACTCCTCCCTACTCTCCTTCAAACTCATGCCCTCTTTTTTCACATTGTATATATCTATATGTATACACACACATCCCTAAATGAAGCCTGGCCAATCCCTATACTGTTATTTGTCTGTATGTTTTCAGGCCTGACCATCTGGCGCTGGACAATGTCCCTTTAAAAAACTGTAAATGTTGTAAATCAATTAAGGCTTTGGGTTCAAATGGGAGAGAAGGAAGTTTCCAAGTTCTGAGAAAAAGAGAGGGTGGTTTATCTCAAATGACATTAAGAAATTTATAATCAACTTGGAAAGGAAACGTTATAATCAAAAGAACTCTAGGGGGCAGGAAGCAGGTAGTGTGGTATAGAGAGAATCAGAAGTGAGTCTAACTGCTGGCTCGGAAAGTGTATAGTAAGAAAATAATTTCAGAGCTGGGTTCCAGATGGCTCTATGACAGGATACCTTAATATATTTCATGTATTTTTTTAAAGATTAGAATAAGAAAAGAATATTTCAAATATACAAATGTGGCCTCCTTATTAAATATCACCCAAGAACTCTGCTAAAATTAATATCTCAAAATATGGTAACTTCATGTTTCTGATTAGAATTTCCATTTTGCTACAAAACATTATCTTCAAATTTTCATTAATTAAATAAAGTTCTTGTAGGCATTGCCTTTTTTAAAAGTTGGAAGTAATTTCAGTTTTTTCTTGTCTTTAAAATGACCAGTTTGGAGCACATGAGATCCATTGGTCCATTGGGTAAGGGCACTTCCTGCCAATGCTAACTGCCTCAATCCCTGGGACTCATGGTGTAGATGCAAAGAACTGACTGGCACAACAGTGTTCTGATCTCTCTCTGAACATATGCCATGGCACATGCCCACACACATGTATGCACACACACAAACACATAAACAAATAAACAAGAACGTGCAAATATAGAGAAACTTACAATCACAAAGTTTCTTACATAATTAAAGTTTTTGAAATATCTCTACTGTTCAGTAAAGGATTTTACTTGACACTTAAATTTATGAAACTAGTGTACAAGTAGGCTGATATTTACACTGTTCTATAAGCTATGGTTATTTACATGGATAAAATACAGAGATAGATGCCAAGATGTTAGAAAGGAAAACAAATGAACAAACCAGACAGCATTCTCCTGCTTCTCCAGGAATGTGAACGGAAACATCTGACCATGATGGCGCTGTAGGGCAGTAATAGTTTCCTATTGATCCAGCTACACACATCAAAATGCATGTGGTTTTTTAAGAGATTCTTGTTTTTGTATAGTATGAAGGATATTGGCCTGATGATTTTAAATTCTCGATTGTAACATAGACTGATGACTTTTAGTTGAGAAGACCCAGAAAAATATCTACATTCTTTGAATATCATTGTAAAAAATGACCCTTAATTAACATCTCAAGAGTTTGACAAGTATCAAATTTGTAGCATAGACTTTATTCGTGTCTAGCCTACAAAGTCTCATTAGCCTGTATACATATAGTGTCCACATGGTGCATAATAGTTGCTTAATATTTGCTGGCTGAATCAATGAACCAAAAAGCAGCATAGTCTATGAAATGAATTACTAATCGAATTTTCAGTCTATAAAGAAACTATGACACGATGTTCTGTTATTGAGATTTAGATAATACAACATTGGCTCCCCTGATAAATATAACACATCTTTAATAGAACTTGTCATGTTCCTAGTTTAAGACATACAAAATAACTATAAGGTTTTTGCTAGGTCTTAAAATAAAGAAAATTTACCATTTTTTCTTAGATATAGACATATCATAAATCATTAGTAGAAATTTTCTAAAAATATTTATTTTATTATGTATACAGTGTTCTGCCTGCATGTGTCTCTGCAGGCCAGAAGAGGGCACCAGATCTCATTACAGATGGTTGTGAGCCACCATGTGGTTGCTGGGAATTGAACTCAGGACCTTTTAAATTTAAGTTGCTTTGGGGTGCTCAAGTTGATTTCATAAACAAGATGAAATAAAGAACCCAAAAGTGAAATAGAATTCCTGATTAACCTGCATTCTAAAATGTAAGCTTATGAAAGAGTGTCCACATATTTTCTAAATCCTATTTATTTCTCCAACTGTCTACTTATCCTCTTTGTTCATATTTTGAGAACCTAGCTAGGAATGACCTAAGTGTAAACACTTCTTTTAGTGTGGGGCCATGGAGTCGCTCAGTGGAAGAGTGCTTCATAGTGTCCACAAGGCCCCAGATTTGATCTGCAATTCCATACACCGGAGGAAGAGCTTCAGCACAAATGCACTTAGTGAAAATACCATTCACCTGCAGATTATGTTGTCATATACTATAATTGCTCTTTCAAATAACAAGAGCAACTATAGGTAGGAGATAAAATCTAGGTAGGATTTTCCCAGAGTGCTTTACAGGGCGACTACAGAAGTGGCTGAAAGGTTACTGAACTTGGCAAAGATGAAAACTGTCAGTTACGTGCCCTGTCACAGGCACATTAGATCACTAGTTCCAATTTCAACATCAGGAAGACTGGAGTTTGAAAGATTAGATTTGCCCCAGCACACCGTGAGACTACTTTTAATAATCCTTTGGCTATGAGATGTATTATCTGTCCAGTGCTATTTTTGCTGACATTCGTTAACCCTGATTCTAAACATTTAAGTCCACTTGACATGACTGTCACCTATATAAGCAGTTATTTCCTGAGGTAGGGCAAATAGCTCCAAGCATTTTCCAACTCAGAAGGATTTCGATGACCTCTAAAACACTATGACATCCCAGTGACACAGAGTTAATCGGGAACTCCTGATAGACTTTCTGAAGTCACGTGTTTAGCCTAAGGTCTAGAAACTATGGAAAAAGTTGTACTCAGTTGTTCATTGTAACAGAATCAAAAGTTGCTTCATTTCCTAGATCTCAGTATCATGAAATAATGAGAGTAATTATCCATTATGCAGCAAAAGGCTATTTTTTTCAGATAATTTTCTTAGCTTTCTAATACAGTGTCTCATAATAGTATGTCAGAAAAACATCACCTTTTGTTTTTCTTTCATATTTATTGTATTTCTGGTCTTTCTATTAGTTACACTAGAATGAACAAAATAGTGCCTCCATATGGTATAAGAGACATTAACATCTGGATTTACCAATTTGCATGTCAATTTTGTCTTATAGCAGTGTTTTGGATGTTAAGTAGATTTGAAAAGAAATCTGGCTAGGCCAGAACATTAAATAACAGTTTTGTATTACTATATATTCCAAATTTTTATATTTCTAAAACAGATTAAAAATGATAAATTTTCAAATATCGATATCATAAAGGAGTGGTTACATATTGGCAGACTGTGCATCATGATAAATACTCTAATGACTCAGAATATACAGTCTTGACATTTTCCAATATGGATTTGGTCATTTGAATGTGCATAGAGCTGGGGCAGCGTGTAGCATTACTGTGTTCTCTCCTATCCTGTTGGCAATTGTTATTTATGGTTACTTAGGTCATCTAAAAAGCTACCAGTTTGTCAAGCAAATCCCAGCTCTCACCCTGTATTAAACTGATTCATTTCTCTCCAAAGCTATAAATTAGTCCTCTGCCAGAGCAGTGTGTGCTCTTAACTGCTGGGCCGTTGGCTCTATCTTGTACAAGTCATGAGACGCTCATCTCATTCCAATTGATTACAAACATTTTGAGGTGACATCATGTTCTGTTGTTGTCTGTATGTACATTTTCACTGAAGTTTGTGGTTTTAAGTCCTTTGCTTCTTTCCCTTCCTCTTCCAATTTACCTTCTTGTCTTTTCATTCCACTGTGACTCTGTGGCTGTCTAGTGTCTTTATAAATCAGCTTTACATGGTATTGTTCATAAACTGACATGAAATACATACTTATACCACTAAACTTGGGTAAGCTAAATACTAGATATTGATTATCTTAGGAATTCTTCAACTATATGTTGGCTAAACAAGAAATAGCAATTGTCATTCCTGTGTTAGCCGGTGTGAACATGCATGGGTTTGAATTTTCAATGACATGTAACAAAACAAAGGAGGGCAAGACACTGACTTAGAGGTGCATCTAACTTGCTTTAAAAGTCTACCAGATCACCCCGGTCCTTTCCTTGTGATTTTAAATCTGTCAACACTCAACTCTTTAAAAGTTAATCAAACACCTTGAATTATAAATTTCTTTAAAAAGCAGCCAGCTCTTGAAAAATTCATCAAATGATTCCAGCTCTTAGAGACCTTCGATGGGTTTTGGGAAGTGATTTCTTGTCAGCTCTGTTTTCCTTGTGTCGCTGAATATGTTCCCACAAAAATAGGACAAAAACATTACAGAAATACTTCTCTCTATCTTAGAAAAGATTCGCCGTATATTTACTACACGGGTCTACTACTACAAAAAAAATTATTTGACTCCAATGCTTCACCCAACTCTCTCACCTCATGTTAACATGCACACACTTTTCATGCATCCTTATGTGACAAAAAAATTTCAGTGTAACACCTTTGTGGTTTGTATAACACAAAAATAAATGATCAACTTCAATTTCTAGAGAGTTTTCTCACTTTAATATTTATAGCCACTATCTGGATACCTCATTATAAAGCATGTTTAGGGTTTTCTAATCTAGAAAAGACCTAAATTCTGCATTTTTCAAAGTTCCAAGGTGTTGTCACATATGGGTTTTTTCAAGAAAATGAGTAATTGTAGTTATCAGATTTATATCTGAAGCTAGGCTCCTTACTTGAAAGAAAT